GTGCAACCAGAATGAAAAAAAATGACTTCATAAAAACAATTACAAAATAGAAAATCATAAAAAATACAATTCACTCAATGTGGTTTTACTATGGAGGACCAAAAATGACTAAAGTATAAATAAATAAATAAATACAGGAATATATTAATAAATACATTCATTTTGGACAATAAAAACTAAATATTTACATTGATGTGTTAAATATTACTATGAAATCAAATAAATATACTTTTATTTAGGTTATTTATCAAAATCTACATTTTTTCCTTTATTTATTTATCCATTTATTGCATATATTTATTTATGTATTTCTACATTTCTTCATTTATTTATTTATGTATTTCTACATTTCTTCATTTATTTATTTATGTATTTCTGTGTCGCTACATTTCTTCATTTATTTATTTATGTATTTCTACATTTCTTCATTTATTTATTTATGTATTTCTACATTTCTTCATTTATTTATTTATGTATGTATTTCTACATTTCTTCATTTATTTATTTATGTATTTCTACATTTCTTCATTTATTTATTTATGCATTTCTGTGTTGCCGTATGCTAATTATGCGGGCGGTGCTGAACTCAATCTAGAACAGGATTGGTGGGCAGTATAGGTCAGCCTGGGCAACCAGACAGAAGCAAAGTTAAGCCTAGCGTACATCGACAGAGAAACTGGACAACTAGTTGAAGGCGGCTTTTGGCAACTGAGAGGAGATGATGGAGATGATCAGTTGAAATCGGTCGATGTGCGCGCTCTTACAACTGGAGATGATCAGTCGGTCTCCAGTTTCAGTCAGTTGCCCGTGTTCTACTTTTCGGCAACTAGTTGTCCTCAGTTTCGGAGATATGACCCGATGTGCGCGCTCCATGCGCCGCTCCGACAACGTGTGTGTATTGCGTGTATTGCGAGCCCGCAACAGTTTATGTCAGAAAACACACTGTAGTTGAGGCCAGTTGCTGTCGATGTACGCGCTGTTATTCCCGAGACTGGTCTGCTACTGGGAGTTGCCCGTTTTCGTCAGATTGTCGATGTGTGCGGGGCAGCAAGTCATATGCGACGGATATAATCAGTTGCCAGTCCGATGTACGCTAGGCTTTAGCCTTCTCGGTTTGTGAGAGGATGTGAAGCTGCTGTATAGCTTGTTGAAGAGCGTCCAGCACAGTTGCATCAAAGTCTACCTCTGGGTCAGCACGGTGATGAACTAAAACATTTAATAGTCTTTCCAGCCGAAAGAGTAGATAGTCCTCAGGTGCATTATGCTCAACATCATTAACATCATTTGCTAATGCTCTTAATTGATGAGCAATGGCTCCTAAAAAACTTACATTCGAAACTGCCATCATACCACACAAAAGTGCACAGAGGATCTCTAGCTAGCACAGAGTACCGTAATGTGATGCAGTAATGATCGAGACCAGAGTTCACGCAATAACCAATCCTGTTCTAGATTGAGTTCAGCACCGCCCACCTAATTAGCATACAGGAACACAAAAATACATAAATAAATAAATGAAGAAATGTAGAAATACATAAATAAATAAATGAAGAAATGTAGAAATACATAAATAAATAAATGAAGAAATGTAGCGACACAGAAATACATAAATAAATAAATGAAGAAATGTAGAAATACATAAATAAATAAATGAAGAAATGTAGAAATACATAAATAAATATATGCAATAAATGGATAAATAAATAAAGGAAAAAATGTAGATTTTGATAAATAACCTAAATAAAAGTATATTTATTTGATTTCATAGTAATATTTAACACATCAATGTAAATATTTAGTTTTTATTGTCCAAAATGAATGTATTTATTAATATACTCCTGTATTTATTTATTTATTTATACTTTAGTCATTTTTGGTCCTCCATATTTTGCAGCATCACTCAAGAACATGCAAATAACTGACTTAAAATGTTGTTAATTTGCAAAAACAGATACAAGCATTAAAATATATTTGATTTGCCCTTTTCTAAATAGTTTTTGAAAAGCCAGATCTTTTCTAGTGCCATACAAATAATGTGTCACCCCCGGTATTTAATGAGACTAATACATGCATGTTTTATGTTGAATTACAGAACTAAATGAACAAGATTAATTTTACTAGTACCTGTATTTATGAGGGTTATACTCCTGGGTTTAGATTAGATGGTAGTATTTATGATTTCTGTGTGAATCTATTGTCCTTTTTTTTACCTGTGGAATGAAAAATGTGTATTCTATTTGTCAAAAACTGCATCAAACAAACATTAAATTAATAATACATTTGCAAAAAACAGGTTGAAAAAATATTTGAAAGACTCACAGTCCTGCATGTCCTTTACCAAGTAGTTTCTTTTAAAAGCCCAAACTACTTTAATGCCATAGAAAATACAGTTTCACGGCTTCTTGAGACAATTATTTCAAATGTAGTGCCAATATCAAAACATGTTGAAGATCGCATTTAGAGGAATAAATCTTTATGACACATTTTCAGAACATTAATAACTGTTTTTGCTAAATCCTCTTCGTTTGCATTCAGACAATTGTAATGGCGGCACGGTGGCTGAGTGGATGGCACTCTCACCTCTCAGCAAGAAGGTTCTGGGTTTGAATCCTGGTCGGAACAGGGTCTTTCTGAGTGGAGTTTGTATGTTCTCCTTGTGTCTGTGTAGGTTTCCTCCAGGCGCTCCGGTTTCCCCTACCACTAAAAACACAAATGCACAATAGGTATGAATGTAAATGAGAGAGTGAATGGATGGTGTTGATTGGAGGCTGATGGTCCAGTGTGTTCGGTGACTCGCTTCCGTTATCACTGTGTGTGGAATGATTGGAACAATATCTGAACTCTGAACATTGTAAAGCGCTTTGGGTGACCTTGGTCTGTAAAATGTGCTATATAAATAATGTCTTTTTTCAACTTCTTTTGTAACTTACTTCTGTTGTGTGATGGAAGAATTAAAGCACAGCATTACTTTTATCAAGGTTCTTTCATTTATTCTATTTACTGAACTTGTTCTTTCAAAGATACAAGGGGATATTGCTCGTCCTCTTTATACGTACAAAAGCCCTCCATAAACTGTTTTTCATTTGTCCAAGGATCTTTTGAATGATGTCTCGGATGTCTTTGTTAGAGAGGATCATTCTATTCAATGTATTTTCATCATCATTTCACACCTAAGCACCCTTCAAGTAAATCTTAAGCTACGAGTTGTATACATTTCCAATTATTTCTCAAAGTAACAGAACTGGTCATCATACAATATGTATTATTCGTCTCATTCATAATGACCTTATCTGAGTGACGGAGGGAATGAGAATTGGCCTCACTCACATCTGGCATTCTATAATCAAAGTGGGATTTACATGTTGAACCCAAATATCGGTTTGTCTGATTGAAAAACAATCCTTAAAGCTTATCTGGCCGGCGTGTCTGCACTTTCAGTTCCTCTCCAAAGGGCTCGGTTTCCATATTACCAGCCGTTAATTATTCATCGGAGCTTGCTTGGCGCCTGTGTTGGAAAATAAAGCAAATCCATTGAAGCAGTGATACAGAATAGTGCTTTTGACCTTTTCCACTGACCCCAGAACCGTTGTCCTTTCGACTCCCGCAGAGGTGAAGCGTGAAATCGTACCTCGAGTGGAGATTATTTCTTGGATGTGTGAAAGAAAATGCATATACAGGCACGGAACCGCAGCCCATAAAGAGACGGGACACTAGCGCGCGCAGAGCTTGACGGGGTAGGTACAGTTCCCATTGTAATGTGCAAAATGATATCTCTCAGTGTTACCATCTCTATTACAGGGGGAAGAGATTGTCTTACGCTGGTGGATTTGCTCCACAGGACACAACAAATGACCCATTGGCTGCTCAGGCGTTCTCTGGCACTCAGTCTACAGTGATCTATAAAACATAAGTGATGTAGAGGGCTATAGCTTTGGGTGTAATGCGTAAAAAAGACATTCTGAGACATCTTGAGGTTTCTGTTAAAGCTGTAGGGGCTGAACTTTCAAACCACAGAACTATTAACTAATGCAAAACAATCTACCAGTTTAAGCTCTCAGCAGTTTTCATATGCATGTATTTTTGACCTGTTACATCTTTAGACCATTTTTTTCCAAACAGAAAAGGGGCTAATTTGCTCAACCAAAAAGCTCTCAGCATAAAGCATCAAATATTCACAGAGTTCTATATTGTACGTGTGCAACATAGATTTTTATTTTCTAATAAAATACAGTATTTTTGGTGTGAAAAAGTTAGTTACTCCACCAAAATGTAACTTCAGTGTTTTTTTTTGGTTTGAGGTTATAATTTTTTCCCTGTTATGATAGATTTAACAAGTCTGCAAGGAAAGTACCAAATTCAAACTTTTATGAATGGTCTTTTTTCATTTCTTGGAGCAATGTTTCTAGAAAAGCCCTTTTTTGTAGAATTTTGAAATGAGTTGTATGAACTAACGTACAACAGATAACCTTGTGATGATGCTAATCGTGAAGAGTAACAAATTTGAACAAATACTAAAAAACAATGAAAAATACTAGAGACTGTGTCATTAGTTCTGGCTTCAGACCAATGTGAGTGTATGTATGGCAACTATACAAAATCAAAATGTGTTTTTCCTCTTGTCTAAATCTTTTGATCCAATCTCCAAATTAACTTGACTCATGAAAAGAATAAAGCATCTCAAAATTGTGTACAATAGCAGATTAAGTTAGAGCTGGTAGTCTACTGGGTGAACTCTAATCGCCTGTTACTTTGTTTGCAATATGACACAGTTCAATAAAAGGCAGACTCTTATTGTTCTATTATTTATTCATCTTTGTCAAAATAAAGCAGCACATTAAACAACAAATACGCTACTTTATATTTATCATACATTACGTTTATGTTGATGTGTCCAGTTAACAAATCTGAAGCTGATAATACAGAAGATATGTCTGAGACCAGATCAGGTGCTCATTTGGGGAGAAGTTGTTCAGTTGACTCGTCGTCTAAGCCCTTTTGGTTTAGTGTCCTAGCGAAGCAGACACAGGGAAGTTCAGGAAGCACTGGATTAGCACGGGCATCTGCCACGGCGGAGGCGGGGCCAGCTCTGGACGAGAGGAGAGGAGGACGTCAGAAGGGTTTCATAACAAAGTACATTACAAAAGGTTATTACCAGTGTGAAGCGGCGTGTATGGATTTGTCTATTTTAGAAACCCTTTTGAAACATCTAAAGATTGTCATTTGGAAAAAAGCTGGCGGCTTGATTATTAGAAATGACATTGCAATTTTGAGCACTTTCAGTTTTTTATGTAAGAGCTGTGCGAATCAAATAATCTACACTTACCCATTACACTGTGATGGTACAAGTAAAGTCCAGAAACTACTGCTCTACATCTGACAAAAATGAACCTTTTTCAATGAATCTGAACTTGCAAACCACACAACTATTAACTAGTGCTAATAAATCTAATAGTTTAAGCTCTCTGTATAGTTTAGTACGAACACTAGTTTTCATATGCATGTACTTTTTTTTAAATAAATCTAGAGTAAAAAAAAAGAACCATTTGAATCATTACCAGTAACTACAGTACAGGCTCTGGAATCAAAACCATGATATCATTTAGGTACCAGTATCAATCAAATATGTAACGATTGTCCACCCTATGTACAGTAACAATTACGTTATGTTTTTTTTATTGTAAAACCAACCGTTCCTTAAAATGTCCCGACTGCTGTGAGCGTGTTGAACTCTCTGTAGCTTATTGGTGAGTGTGTGTTTTTTTCCTTCTTTTTTTGACTAAGAAAGTGACACATAGACATACAAAAGTGACACATAGACAAAAGTGGTACAACAACAACAACAAAAACCTTGAAGCAGCGACAAAACATGGGAACATACAAAGAAATACGAATATTGAGACATGAAATATTACAATATGGGAGGGAGGGGTAGGGGTGTGTGTGCGTGTGTGTGTGTGTTGCGTGCGTGTGTGTTGAAAAACAAAAAAAAGTCAATTATCAAGATCATCAACACCAACATTATTTAACACGATTTAAATTGATGTTTTATGAGTCAAGAGATACTCCAGCCTCCGCCTTCTTTGCCTTTTATCTGCTGTCTATGTATTGTGTGTGTGCGTGAGTGTCTAAGATGCATTAAAAAGGACATGATTGGAGTGTTGGAGCAGGGGTACTGCTTCAAGTTCTCCTCATGTGTGTGGGTGTGTTTGTATTGTTGTATCATGTTTATCTGTTTGTATGAGCTCCACATTACGCTTATGTTATTGTTTGACACAAAAAGGCTATGTGTTTTTATGTCCCATGCTGTTTGTACTGAATTGCCCCTGGTGGGATAAATAAACTCTGAATCTGAGTAATATCTAGGATGATGTAATGTTTGTGGTCTTGTTTCTGAAAATTGAATCAAACTGTTTTGCGTGGGTCTAACCTTCAGTATTTATTCCCGCGGCTGTGGCTGGTCTTCGTCCCGTGCTCGCGGCGGCTGGTAGTACTGCTGCGTGGGTCTGCTCCGTCTGGGCTGGCCGTCTCCCCCCCTCCGGAACTCCAGGGAGTTGTCGTAGTAACCGTCTTCTTCATCCTGACAATGCAACACAAAAAAGACCATCAGATGTGTGGTGGAATACTTTATCTATGTGTCTATGTTCATGTTTTCGTACAAAGACTAAGCAGGGGTGCACATAACTTTTTCCGTGAGGTTCTCCGATGGTGTTTGGAACTCATCCCATTTGTTCCATGGTTCTTAATCGAGATTTTATACTGGCTTTTTTATGCTAAAGTTTAAATCATCTCTCAGCTCAAAATGTCAAATGGTAACCATGGCATTGCACCACACCCCCTTACGGGAGCACCCCACTATTTGAGAAGGACTGGTCTATGTCAAGTACGCAAAGGAGCTTAATAACTCAAGCGAATAGTATGCATTTCTGATTTTTGTCACGCATGCCTACCCAGTTATGTGCACCCCTGGTTATACAATTTTAAAACTGCGATCAATCACGTGCACTATGCATATTCATGTCTAATACAGTGAAGTAATTTAGTGAGATTTATTTAGGGAATCCTGCAGAGGAGCTAACCAATTGTAGTACCACACACAACTGCAAAAATATATTATGTAACCTTTATGCAATGAAATAATAAATAAGCAGGCAAAATATACAGGCAATGAGCTTTGACAGAAGATCCAGGTTTTGAGAACAATTAAAGCTGGAGTATTTTTTATAATCTAAATTTGGTTGGTCCCAGTAGAAGGTTTTGTTTAAGTAACTATATAGGAATAAATAAGACCACAACATAATATCTGATAATACAACATTTGATCTTTTACATACAGAGAGTTGATTGTTTGAGTAAAGGTGGAACTCTTTTTGCTGAAAAAGCTGATCTAAAGATGTGACATAGATTTTATTATTTTGTTTGTTGTTTTAAAAGTTTAGTACTCCAGCTTTAAGACCTTATATTTCAACCTTTCATCATCCTGGAAAAGCCCAAAAGCAATTGCAAAGTATAAAGAAACTACCAGATCAGCTTCAAAGAGATTACAAGCCTTAAGGAGGTTGTGAGAAAATATTCTATGTGTGAGAAGTGAAAACGGAATTGTAACTTGCCCCTTTCTTACCAGACCATCAGCAGAAACGGGTTTGACATTATCCAGGAGGACTTCTTCACAGTTTCCGTAATCGCTGAACACCACCACCGCCGTGGAGCCGGACGGGTGCACCGCGTCTACCCTGGCGTGGTAAAACTTCACACAAAGATGCAACAGACAATTATTTATTCATTCATTTACAAGACCATATCACCAAACTTGCAAATAAAAGAAACCAAGAGGGTTTCATAATAATTTTGTGGCATGTCAATATTTAAACTACAAAAGATATATATGTGAGTTTTGTGTGCCATGTATCCATTTCAGCTCATGTTTTGAGTGTTTACAATCTTTTGAGAATAAAATTATGTGTTTAGTTTTAATTATGGGTTGTGATTAGGCCTGTCACTACACCCACTTCTTATACTAACCCTAACCGTATACACCCCCTACCAGTGTGTGGCAGGGTAGTCCAGATTTGCCTTAATACCTCCAACTAGTTTAGACCAACTAGTGAAAACAGGTGTTGCCTAGTGTAGAAGTACTGACTTTAATGGAATGCTTTTGTCGTTCACAATACTGGACTTTTATCAGGAACATGTCTCAGGAAAACTAGACACTAGACACACTTTTGTAACCACTGTGGCTCAGGTACAGGACCTTGGGCCACAACAATAGTTACAGGGTGCTTGCTCTTTTTCCAAATTAAAATTCCAGACTTTTTTTAACTTATATTTTTTTCCCCCAAGACCTTAGCAGTGACTTCACTAAAACCAAAAAAGCAAGCGTTGATTGGATATCATTCCATTAGGCTAATACAGTACGTGAGCAGTTGGTAAAATTATAGTTTTATAGCCCATTTCTCATGTCACAATGCCTTTGAGCATTATGTAAAATTCTACCATACATTTTATTAGGGCTGGGCGATATGGCAAAACAGTAAAATCTCGATTTTATTTCCTACTTTGGACGATGAAAATCGATTTAAAATCGACTTTCATTAAAGTCACTCAAGACAGACTTTGCCCTTAAAATATTTTTTATCTTCCCGCTCAATATTCAAGTTTCAAAACATTTTTTTATTTGTTTCCCCCAATACATATTATAAAAGTCTTGTACAGACTGTGCTGACATTGCAAGTATAATTCACATTTTTCACGAATTAGATTTTTTCAAAAGCCAATTAATTGCCAAAATTCGATTTATTGCCCAGCCCTACATTTTATTAAAACTTTCACACAAAATTCAAGACTTTTCAAGGTCTGGAAAACAGTGTTTCAAAATTCCATACTTATTAAGACTTTCAAGACTTGCGCAACCCTGAGTTACTAATAATAAATGGTATCATATTTTTTTTTTCAACTATACTTTGATACCCAGGTCTCCATTGTTTCTTAGTGGAATTTTTTTTATTAGCTTTATTCTTTTTTTTAGCTTATTATATTATGAAACTTGGCACTTGCATTTCTACCAAATAATATCTTTTATTTAACACAATTTTAGTACAATCCAAAACTGTCCCAAAGTTAAGGAGGGATAATTCAAAATTGTAAACTGAAATATGGTTGTTTTCTTGAGTAACATATCTTGGACAGAATTATATTGGCAATAATAATCTGTAAAGAGTCAAATTAACTTTCATGATCTTCATCTTTTAATAAATGACATTGTGGTTATTTTGCTAAGTACTCTGAGTTGCCTTGTGTATGAACTGTGCTATACAAATACACTTGCCTATTTTTATGTCAGCGGCAAGCACTTTTAACATCAGTAGTTTATCTCATTATCTTACCACAACAGCAAAGTGATTGTGTAAGAATATTGAACTTCCAATATAACTATTGTGACAAGCCTACCATGTAAGCTTGCAAACATTGTTACACAGTCACATTTCTGAGGATTAGCTTGACATGTTTGAGGTGTTATTTGAGAAGCCAATTACCCAAAGAAAAACAGGCAAAAATTACCTTGTTGTCCTCCCAGTACAGGGCTAGACACTGATCCCCGGGTCTCCATATATGCTGTGGGTTATGACTCCTCTCTTGTCCTCTGTGGCCTTTACCCTGTCCCGCCTGCCGCCTGTTAGACCCCCTGTTACTGTTGCTGCTATTGTTCTTCCTGGGAGGAGCCTCTTTATTGGGGGCAACACTGGGAGTTAGCAGCGGCTTAATTGGTCCAGTCCTTTTGTGTTCAACATCCCCGTTTACTAAATACAGTTGGTCTGCTGCATTGAACCCTGGACTACCTCCTCCTCCTCCTCCCCCTCCACCTCCTCTTGCGTTAAAGCTCGGCGGCCCGTTATCTCGCGGGAGTTTGTCAAAGTTTTCAGAATTCGGTCGATCGCCTTTGCCTTTCCGCCTGTTGGGATTTGCGTCGTCGGAGCGGTTATCGGAGCGGTTATCGGAGCGGTTATCGGAGCGGTTATCGGAGCGCTTGGGCCCGCCTCTTCCCTCCGGCTCGTTGCTTATCGCGGCGTTGTTACCTATTCGGATGGGAGGTGCGTTTTCTCTCGGGCCTTTCCGGTGGGCCGAGTTCACGCCGTCCCCGTTTCTGGACTGGTGTGGTTGGAAAGATCCGCTAAAGTCTGTCTGCTGCTGAGGCCCCTTTGAGCGAGAGAATGTCTGGGAGAAAGTAGAAGCCTGCTCTTCGTGAGACCTCCAGTGCTGGGGCTGCGATGTGTTGGACTGTGAGGAGTTGGTGACTGGATCGTGGCCCGGTTTGGGAAAGTCTGTGTCTCTATGGAAACGAGGGGGTCTGTCGTTCCTCTGCTGCCGCTGGTCGTTGTGTGAGGAGAACCTGCTCTGTGGCGGGCCTTTGGAGTAGCTGTCGGAGTTGGAGAAATTTGGCCTGCCGTCGTGTTGCCGCTGAGGTGCATGACTCTTTGCCTCTGTTAAGTACAGTTCAAAGTCATTTATTTATTCTTCACAATTCATTATTCATTTTAGATTTCATAGCCAAAGGCCGGAGATCAGTCCAGCAACAATAACTTCCAAGGAAGATCAGGTTACTTGCTCACTCAGGTGCCCCTACATATAGTTCAGTCGATAATGGGGCGATCCATCATAATCATGCTATACCTGTATACCAGGGATGTCCAAACGTTTTAGTAAGAGGGCCATGTGAGTCTTAACTAAAGTTTATTAGAGTTGACCATTTCACCAGCTACATGAGCGCCATATATGGAATTTTTGTGAAACAATCAAATACATGTCTATATATACACACAAAGTCAACAGCTGGATTTCAATAAAAAGAAACCGGGGAGAGATGAGAGAGAGACCACTAGAGGGAACCCAGAGACTGGAGAGGGACCAGTGAGGGACTAGAGAGGCATCAGAGACCAGAGACAAGTCAACGAATGGATTCCAGAGGTATTGAGCTTTACAACAAGGTATAACATTAATTGGGGTTAGAGCTGAAGTTGGCTGGATGACACAGTGGAGCAAGGAGTATGTACTTTGTGTTGGCTGTAGAGGGCATCATGAATTAATGAGTTCATCTGTAGTAATTTCAGTATTCGTTAATATCTATCATCCATTCTAAATTAATTATCAAAGGTCTTTTTTAACAGTAAAAATTGCCAGCAGTACATTGGTTTCAATCCGGTTGGTGCAATACAGAGACTGTTAATGCAACACAACGCATGTTCTCATCAATGAAAAACAGACATTTAGTTCAATATATTTACTTCTTACCGTCGACAGAGAGATTTCCCATCTTGGACTCCAAAAAGTCGAATAAAGTGCTTGGGCCAGATGGCCTCCCACCTCCCTCCTCAGAATCATCATTTCTGGATCGACCTCTTCCTCGTCCTCTGGCTAGCAACAACCAACAACAGAGAGCATGAACTGTGAAATTGTGTTTTTTTAACAGTCAAAATTAAATAGCCTAAACTGTACAGGCTGAATGACTTGCAGCTATGCCAAAGAAAAAGGAAAAGTTCTAAGTCTTCTGTTTACAAATGCTCTCGCCGCATTATAGTAAAAGCATGCTCGTTTTTTGTTGCCGTAGGTATATAAAACACATAACCCAAGCGCAGGTATTCTACAGTGTTTATCTAAAAAGCTTATGTTGTAAGCACAGTGTAGCAGCAAGGCGTCTTTGCAATTTGTGGTAAATGGTCTATAACAAGCAAGCACCGTGGACCTTTTTGATGTATTTGATAAGCTCTATTTGTCACTGCTGCTCCCTCCTCCCCACTCAACATGAACAAGATGCTTCTGGGGGCATGCTACATTTGTCTCAGGGTCAGAAGAAGAACAATTTGTGTGTTTTTGTGAGCTGTCGTTGGAGCATGCCGACCTCTTGGCTGGAACTTGTTAGATTCGGACACGGTGGGGCTTGCCCTGTTTGTGCACTGCCCGGTTAGGAGGCTGTTAAGTGCCACCTCCAGGTTGTTGTTGTTGTCCATGAGCGCTTGCCGGGCGGCCTCCCTGTTAAAGCCCATCTCCATGATGTCTCTCAGAGCACGTTCATCCACCTGAGTACATACACACATGGGAAAACGTAAAAGCATGTGTGAAAACAAGAGCAAAACTTCCAAGTATACGTTGCCGGCTTTGAGGATTTACATGGTTTTGTGTAGTGAGGAAAAAAGCAGTCTCAAAAAGCCTTAGTCCTCTTTCTACAGCCCGAGTCCTGGATCTATAGCCTGTCTGTCTGTGAGAGTAGATCCCTGTCTCAATGTGGGGCTCCCTGGGGTTTCTCACTTTTTCCCCACTTTTTATTTTTTTGTGTGGAGAAACTCAAGTCCATAAACTCTAGAGGCCACAATACAAATACACACATTGGTCGTTGTAACAGGGTTGAGAAAAACAAACTAGAAAAACATAGCGGCAAAATTGGTAATTTTGTTCAGACACTCCATATATAAAAACTCACCAGCTCTCGGTAGTTGCCATCATATCGTTCAGGCTTTTCTTCTCGTCTTCTCTGTTGGAACGAGTCCCGAGTTCGATAAGAGGTAGAAGTATTGGATAAATTACTTCCAGCATTCCCACCTCCGCCAAACGTTCGAGGACCCTGGAAAAACGGTCAACTTAATATTCATATTTGAGCTAACACAAATTCTCATTATCTTGTACTGAACAATTATGTATTTTTGCTGGTTCAATCAAGCAAGATCCAATGCAAAGAGTTGGAAAAGGTGTCAAAATAAACCTCTTTGGTCTTTGCCACTTCAGCAATGGCTGCTGTCCGCTGCTTTTCAAACTCCTCATTTTCCTCTGCATTTTTCACAACGGTTTGGGTTTGGAGGGTCTTCCTATGGTCCAGCTCCCGACTATCCACGTCCTCCTTCCTCGCACACCTCTACAAAAACAGACAAATCAATAAAAAGTTAAATATATCATTGACTTATTACTAACTAACAAGGCGACATGACAAAAGCTCTCAGACTATAATCCTTGTTTGCACCAGACCCTCTTATTAGCTTACTAATGCAAGTCAAGTTAATAATTAGGAAGGTGATCGGCCGCAGCCTTCCATCTTTGCAGGACCAGTACGGACCAGTACGGACCAGTACGGACCAGAACCTCCAGCATCACAACAGTTTCTTTCCCTCCACACTTCATCACTCATCCCAGACCCTTTCCCCGACTGTCACCCTATACAACTGACACTTAACTGCACGCTTTATTGTCTGTACCTACAGTGCACTTCTATAAAGTAGACATTTAAAGAAAATCTTTTATGTGTCTATTTTTTACTTATTTAAAAGAAGAAATTGCACCCTGAGCCAAAGTTGCTGGTTTGTGAATTCCTGTCACTTACAATTACAATAAAATGTGTGATTCTAAAAACCAAAATGTTCACTTAATTTGCTGCACACAATCTCTTGTTTTCCCATTTTCCAATATACATTTCTGTAATTCCTGAGGGAGCATAGGTACTGAATGGCTGCTAAATATATTGGCCTTGGATTTAGTTTTGTTGTTCTTTGGAAACAATAGTCTCGAGTTGGAGAGAATAGATGTAAATGAAACTCCAGACCAGATGAGTCATTTGTACAGACATGACCTCTGCTTCTTAAACCATTCATCTTCTGTTGTCTGCCGTCAGCCCAACACATAGAACTAAAGACAGCTCAATACACTATAAGAGGATCACTTACATCTACATTTGAAGTAGGAGAGGGCACACAGAGGGCATGGGAAAGTGTGATAACTGTCTATACAAATCTATGCCATAAAACAATAATGCAGCTTTTTATTTTAAACCTACATTTGTGAGATCTGTGAGAAATGGTGGCTTGAAATGATGTCAAGACAGTCATTATATTCACTTAGAATATAAAGAGAATCACACACATATTTAGTTTAAACTAAAAAGAAAAATAACTGTCAAACTGTAATTATGTCAGCTATATCAAGATTATATTAAGCTAATGAGAAAGTGTAAGTTAAAAATGAAAATTGCAGGAGGAATAGAGCAACTTAAAAAAGCACAGATCACCAGGTGAGCTCAGGTGAGAATGACATCTGGTGAAATGTATGAGGCAATGCAGCGAGACGCCACGTTGAAACAGGAAACCTGTGAGAATGATCTGGGTAAAAACATCAAAATAGGACAAAAAAGCCAAAGCTGTAGCTAAAAAAGGTACATGTAGTGTCTAGCAGGCTGACTAAAGTTCTGTTACTTCCGACAACGTGCTGAAAATATTATTTTGCAAACATTGGCCAGTTATATAATCAATCCATCTGTATCACTGTGGTTTTAACACACACCTTGTTCCATTGCAAAACAGAAAGATATAAACTGGAGTTTTAAGACAAAACTTGCAGGACTAAACTTGCAGGACTAAACATAACAAGACAAAACATAAAAAATGGTAAACATGCAGATATTTCAGAGCTTGTGTTGCAGCAGTTTAAAATGTCTTTTATAAAATCTGAATGTTGAGGATTTTCAATGGCTTCACATTTTTCCTCTTCCTTGCAGGCGAGAAAGAACTCTACTTGGCCAACCCAATGAAAGATTTCAGGCTTTTGAACTGCAAAACTTCAGTCATTTAAATTATGTAATAATGTTTTATTCCAGGATTAGGGACATTTCAAGAAAAGAAGTAACATATTCATCCAAGATACAAAATGCACCTTCAAGAGTACAAAATATAACAGTCAAATGTTTAGTCACTGTTGAAATACAATTAAAGATCATTTGTTTTTGTTTGGTGTCTGGTGTTTGTATGCAGAGTGGTGTACAGTGAACGTACCTGACCAAATGGCACAAATGGGGGAGGGCCGCCTTCTGCTCCAATGTTATTCCTGCTGTGTTTGGCCAGACTCTTTAGGATGAATGAGAAAGAGAAATGTCAGCCTAAAGCAAACCCTAACATAGCTTTGAGAGTGCACTGGATTAAAGATGTGAAATGATTATTCAAGTTGTATTGTGTCCTTTAACAAAAGCGGAGTCATACTAAAGAGAAAATATTATGCTCACCCTTTGAAGTTCCCATTTCTCAACCATGTGATCTACCTCTCCGCCAAGGACACAGAGTTTAGAATCGTCGAGCAGAAGAAGGCCATTTCTGACCTGAACTGTGCCCAGGAGCTTTACTTTTGTGCCGGGAGGTGTGTTAAGACTGAAACAAAACCACTTGGTGTTATCAATCACATCTTTATCACACACCACATATTCAAAAAACCGATGTCCAAATAAACATGCTTTAAGGATAAGCCAGATCCCGCACTCTACTGCTTCACTTAGACTTTGTAAATGACATGGAGCAGTGCCAGAGGATGGGCTGCTGAGGATGGGAGAGACTATTAATAATCCCAGCTGCGCAGCCGCCCTCATGGTAAATTAAAAGCCCCTCTATCTCATCAGGTCTGATAAGGCCTCTGCCTTTCTCATTAGGAAAGCACAAGGACTTAGAGGGATTTCCAGCTACTGATGCCGGATGCCAAAGCAACAATTACAGATTTCACTTGGATCCCCTGGAAAGATGGGCTGTTCTCCTGATACCAGACACGACACGTTTGACTCAACTCAATCAGAACACACATCTAACAATGGCACAATTGAGACTTCCATCGTTGCTGCTGCTGAATAAAGACTGGGTTGCAATCCCCAACAGCTTTTGTAATCTATTTCATCCTTCTCCGCTTCTCACTTGTGGCAGCACGCACTCTGATTCAGCAGACCGTTCAGAAACACTAAGCACTGCTGCTGGCAGAGCAAGTGCGCCTCATAAAGAGGGCATTTGTTCTGCTCTCTCCTCTGCTCCCATCAGGAAGTCCAGGCCCACACTCGGCCATTCCACCTGTACAGTCGCCATGGCAGCAGAGCTGAGACGGAGATGCAATTAAACGCTGCAAATTGTTAGATCAGCTGCCACAGAGTGGAACGTGCAGAAGGGAAAACAGATGCATGTGGAGAGTTAGAGATATGACAAGGAAGTGAGAAGACTGACTTGAAGATGGACTTGTCACCAAGTGAGGCATCACCTGACCTTCAATTTACAATATTACAGCCACTTGCTGAGCACTTGCCTTCTTGAATACTTGTGAGCATGGAACAGGAAAAATGGTTACCTTATCTTAGACAGGTGTTGAAACTCCAGCCCCACACAGGTGGTGTGGCCATCTGTCATTTGGAGGCGCAGCATGCGAGGTGCCCCCTGGGACTCTTCATGGTCTTTAGGAGCAGATATATTCCTCACCTTCTGCACCTGGAGGACACAAGGCCCCTCCAACTGCAAATGGTACATACACACAATTACATTTCCAAACGTGGATGTCAAATTCCAAAAAATACCCCAACAATATCTTGATTTGCACACAAGACGGATTCATATTATTATTATTTTTTCAAAAAAATGGCTGTGCTGTTGTATACAACAGTTTTTATATAAGTTATCCATTCTTTTTGCACATATAAAGCATTATCTAACGGATTCTTCTGTTTGTCAGAGCATCAGCTCCATCTAGTGGCATTAGTGTGAACTTCCATGGTTGTGGTTGTTAATCAAAAGGAGTAAAACATGCAGTTACCTTCTCAACCTTTCCACTGTTAATATCTGATGGTAGAAATTTCTTCCCAATAGGCCTGAGATCATTCTAAAACCAGGAAAGAAAAGACAAGATTAAATCAAAACCTAAACACATGTTATTGCTTTATAACAACACAACAACATAATTACATTGAATCAAGAAGCATAACAAAGCTTAACCAGGATGATCCCACTGGGGACTCCCGCCCACAGAGCTGAAGAGCCTATTGTACATGTTTTTAGTGGTAGGGGACACCAGGGCAGGCGTGGAGAGAACATGCAAACTTCACCCAGAACTCAGAACCTTCCTGCTGAAGGGCAAGAGTGGTTGGGTTGATAGTTGTAAAGCAAAACCTTCATCAAATACATCGGTGATGAACCATCCACAGATATCATTATGTATTGTATAGGCCTTATACTTTTGCAAGTTTAAGATGTAAAATGAATCATGAGCCAAGCAAAACTGAAACCATTCAAAAAAAAAAAAAAAAAAACAACTCTTTTTGACTGCATTTGAAAAAACAAAGTTTTAAGTAACAGACTAAACTTCCAAAAAAAAAACATGTGATTAAGACGTTTTAATAGTATATGCTATGGTAATTTATCAACAAAGACTTTGAATACCCCGCCAAAATGTCTAGTATAAATGTGTTTGCGGAGGATTGGTTGTGTCACTTGCATCAATTTAAATGAACGTACATGTTTGTAATGTGTATATAAAAATATTTTGTCTACAGTTGAGTTATTGTGCACTCACAAAGCACCTGTCATCTGTGTGAATATATTTCACTTAGAACTAGATTCCTTCTTAAATGTGCACAAGGTATTGATACATGCAAGGAAATAATTCATATGAGTCTTAACCTAAACAAATATGCAGCCAATTTCTAAATCAATATCAAAATTAGGTTCCTAATGTCAAAATAGGAACCAAAAGCAGGTATTGAAATACAAAATCTAATGGTATGAAATGCAAGTCTCTGTATGTGATTCACATATGACGACACATAACAGCTGCTTCACAGATGATGATCCATTGTAAACAATCTGAGTTTGGTAAGAAGAAATTCTGTAGTGTGTGGAGGCCAATATAACAGTTTATTAATAAAAACCCTGACTGGCAGAATGAGAGTGTATTGCTGCAGTAAGAGTTTTAGTTCATTTTGATTGTTCAAACTGGGCGGCACGGTGGCTGAGTGGATAGCACTCTCGCCTCTCAACAAGAAGGTTCTGGGTTCGAATCCCGGTCGAAACAGGGCCTTTCTGAGTGGAGTTTGCCTGTTCTCCCCGTGTCTGCATAGGGTTCCTCCGGGTACTCCGGTTTCCCCTAAAACTAAAAACATGTACAATAAGTCGGGCATGCACCTGCTCCCATCTCTGTGTGGAGTGAGAGGTCAAATGCCCAAAATATAACAATTGTAAACCGCTTTGTGACTCTGGTCTATGAAAGGCGGTATATAAATAAAAATAAAGATTACTTACTTCAAAATACATTTTCGGCTTATTCTTAGTAATTTCTAAAAATATTGTATTCTGTACTTTTAACACTGTGTGTGATGTTTAGGCATATCGCTATGATTTGCCTCCAATTGACGATCCAATTTTGCTTTTAACATTGGTATTGTAAATTATAAAACATTTTTGGCATGTAAACTCAATATTTTACAAAACTGAAATCAATCAAAAAAAAATCAATGAGAATTAATCAGCCTACTTTTACGTTTACGTTTATTCTTTCTGGTTGGTACAGAAAAGAACTAAGAAAGCTATCAAATATTCACATAGCTTAAAACATTAAACTTTTAGCTGAACATTCCTTTCGGTAGATTTACACAACGCTGTATGCTCCGTTTAATGTTTAGTTTGCAAAAACCTTTACCTCGCCCAATCAACATACAGCATAATATTATCAATTAGTTGTTGAGATCTCAAAAGGTCAGTTTATTTCAAAACCTGCACAAACATTTTTTACAACGGTTCATCTTGTAAAGCACATGCATGGTTTGAAAAGGGGGTTGGCAGAAGCAGAAGCTTATTTATATCCAACCACCTCTCACACACTCTCTACAACGCAACCACAATGCAAAAACAAGAAATCACAAAAACAAAAAACAAAACAAGCAAAACAAAAAACAAATCTATATCCCCTTGGACTACCCCCACCGGTCAGGTAAAGTAGAGCATATACAATACTGTAGCGATACAACACACAACAAAACCAGACAGGACAACCAGGACAGGACAACCAGGACAGGATAACCAGGACAGGACAAGACAGGACAGGACAGGACAGGACAGGACAGGACAAGACAGGACAAGACAGGACAAGACAGGACAAGACAGGACAGAACAGGACAAGACTCACTCACTCAGACACTGGCCCCGGACGTTCTCCGACCACACACCACTCGCTCAATGCTCAGCTACTGCTCAGGGAATCATGCTCCCTCTTCTGCGTATTTCTGCAGTAATTCTTTTTTAAAGTATTTTTTAAACTTGGTCATGTTGGAGCATGATTTTAATGCTTCCGTTAAATCTTTCCAGATCTTCACTCCTCTGACTGAGACACACATTGATTTCAATGTTGTTCTCACTTTAGGGACATAAAATTGTTTGTTTCCTCTAAGCCTGTATCTATGATGGGCGTCTCTATCATGAAAAAGGTTTTGTATGTTTGCTGGCAGAGAGCTTTCAGATGCCCTGAACATTATCTGAGCAGTTCTTAGGCTAACCAAGTCATGTAGTTTAAGTTGATTCGTTTTGATGAACAAGGGATTAGAAGGATGTCTGTAGTGAACATTAGACACAATCCTTATGGCCTTTTTTTGTAAAATGAATAAGGGTTGCAAATGAGACTTATAGCAGTTTCCCCACACTTCAACACAATAATTCAGATATGACATTATGAAAGAATGGTATAATAACATAAGCGCATTGGTATTAATTAAATGACAGGATCTCTTCATCATTCCCACACATTTTGCAACTTTTGTCCGCAGGTAACTTATGTGAGGTTTCCATGTAATTTTGTCGTCTATAATAACTCCCAAAAATACATTTTGTTTGACATTCTCAATAGGTGTATCATCAAGTACTATTCTGACTGGTATTTTACTTTTACGATTACTGAAAAGCATAATTTTAGTCTTTTTTAAGTTGAGTGACAATTTGTTATTATTAAACCACCTCATTAATCTGGTCATCTCCACTGTTACGAGGGACAAGAGTTGCTCCAAGTTATTTCCTGAGCATGTAATTGTGGTGTCATCCGCAAATAGTATAAGTTTCATTAATGTTGATACTTTACATACATCATTGATATACATGAGAAACAGTGTGGGTCCCAGAATTGACCCTTGGGGAACACCACAGGTGATGTCTCTGAAACCAGACCTCTGTTGTTCAAACTGTACAAGTTGCTTCCTACCATTCAAATAGCTCACCAACCAGTTTAGGGCCGGCCCCCTTATGCCATAAGCCTCCATTTTGTTTATTAAAATATGATGATCGATCGTATCAAAAGCTTTTTGGAGGTCAATGAATATTCCTAGCACAAAATATTTTTTTTCTATACCGTTTGTAATGTCCTCCATCAGGTCTATCAGAGCAAGAGATGTTGATAGTTGTTTTCTGAATCCATATTGAGCGACAGACAGTAAATTGCACTTGTGAATGAAATCACGTAATCTAGTGTCAAACAATTTTTCCAGTATTTTGGAGAACTGTGGCAGAAGGGAGATAGGCCGATAGTTATTGAAGCTGTTTTTATTTCCTGATTTGAATATTGGGATGACTTTTGCCCTCTTCATTTGGGAGGGGAAGTCGCCAAGTTGAAATGACAAATTGCAGATGTATGTGAATGGTTTAATAATCTCTGTTGCTATCTTACGTACGGTTCTCATATCAATGTCGTCGATATCTCTAGATGTTTTGTTCTTAAATGTCCTTATAATGCTATGGACTTCCTCCTCATATGTGGGAGTGAGAAACATTGATCTGTGATTTTTTTCAATCAATCCTTTCCCAGGGTCACTTTCCGATGGGATCTTTTTTGCAAGTTCCGGGCCTATACTGACAAAGAAATTATTAAAACCATCTGCAATACTCTTTTTATCAGTTATGATAGTTTCAGTGACAGTGAACATGTGTTTTAAAAAAATGAAAAAAATTACAAAGCTCAAATGAGACTGATTGTGTTGTTTGATTAAAAATGCTTTATAAAGACATTTTCATTAATTTGGAGTTATAATAGAATTATTTGAGAACTTCAGCACTAAATTAGGTGATATTGACAACTATTTCAATAATTGATGGATGAATCCATCCACTTGTTTCTATTGTTTAAATTGTTCAATACATATAAAAAAACATCAAAGATTAAAATGAAAGAGAAACTTACATCCAGTGCAATACGAATGATGTCACTAGCAGTTACTTTCTCTGCAGAACCTTTGAGATCCGATATACCTTCATCACTGAGGTACCTGGAACACAGATACATAGGAAATCTATCCAGGGAAGCAAGCGAGCAGGGATATGTTAATACAGATAATGGTACCCTGTATCTGAACATTTACACAGTGGTATTTTGACTTGAGCACAATAAAAGGTAAAACACCTCAATCAAGGGCTTATTTGTTTACAAACCCTTTAATGGTCTTTATCAATATTACATAATATTATGAATATCATAAAATACAATATCATTATGTAGATTGATACAATGAATTTGATATTGAACAAAACCAAAATAAAGATGAAATCTACAGAGACACTGAAACAGCCTGTTTTACAGTTGATATAAATTTTAGCTTGATTTAAGTGTTTTCAGGAGGTGAGAGAGAGGTAAGCATGCAGCATAAACTCCTCCAGCTCCAGTAGTCCTGACCAAGCCAAGCATCAACATCTGGAGATGGGTCCCCAGGTGCGACTACTGGTCCTAATGGCTTTGCAGGATGGGGCAAATGGGGAGGAGAAATAAACAGTTTCCTAAGGGGACAATACAGTATTCCTTACTAATTGCTTACTTGAATTGCTACTGTCTCACTCCTATTGTTTTATCCTTTTGCATATATCCAATCAACTTACGCTTTTGATCTTGTTATCATTTTAGTGGGCCTACATTTTTGTCGGGACTGTATCACTATGTTGAACGTATATCTAAACAACACCACCAATATCAGATCGTTTATCTCGTTTCATAGTATGTTGGTAACTTTCAATTCTCATTGAATCAAACATGTAATTTTCAATCTCAAAGTAATGCACCGGCGCAAAAACAACGTTGGATGTCTTGAAGCTGACTCCTGCTTCTGTCGATTTCAGACATATGTATTACAGTTTTTCTCAGTCGCTTTGGTGCATTTCTCACATCATTCTTCACATTTGCACAACTGTTGGTGCATTTCTCAGAACAATTAGTGTAAACTGCAGAACCCCGTGGATAACCTGCAAAAGTGCGTCACTTTCTCAAAATGAAAAGTTTTTTCCTCAAAAGCAAGTCCAAACGTTAATGAAACTGTCTATGTCGTCAAAATAATATGTCCTAACAACATTGAGTATGAACATCACAGTCAAATGACTTAGTCATGTTTTCATTGTGAAAGTTTACTCTCTGTGTTTTCAGTGTAAAAAAGTCAGATCTCGGTGACACTTGAGCACGACTATGAGCTCACTATACACAACCTGTGCAGCCATTTACAGTAAAAAATACAGTATGTATGTATGTACTGTATGTATGTATGTACCGTATGTATATGTATGTATGTATGTATGTATGTATGTATGTGTGTATCTATGTATGTATGTACCGTATGTATATGTATGTATGTATGTGTGTATCTATGTATGTATGTATGTATGTACTGTATGTATATGTATGTATGTATGTACTGTATGTATATATGTGTGTATCTATGTATGTATGTATGTACTGTATGTATATGTATGTATGTATATGTATGTATGTACTGTATGTATGTATATGTATGTATGTATGTATGTATGTATGTATGTATGTGTACTGCATATGCTCTTTGTATTTTTGTTGCACAATGCAGTAGAAGTGCAGACACAAACATGTATATACAGTGCCTTGCGAAAGTATTCGGCCCCCTTGAACCTTTCAACATTTCGCCACATTTCAGGCTTCAAACATAAAGATATAAAATTTTAATTTTTTGTCATGAATCAACAACAAGTGGGACACAATCGTGAAGTGGAACGAAAGGTATTGGATAATTTAAACTTTTTAACAAATAAAAAACTGAAAAGTGGGGCGTGCAATATTATTCGGCCCCTTGCGCTAATACTTTGTAGCGCCACCTTTTGCTGCAATTACAGCTGCAAGTCGCTTGGGGTATGTCTCTATCAGTTTTGCACATCGAGAGACTGGAATTCTTGCCCATTCTTCCTTGCAAAACAGCTGGAGCTCAGTGAGGTTGGATGGAGAGCGTTTGTGAACAGCAGTCTTAAGCTCTTTCCACAGATTCTCGATTGGATTCAGGTCTGGACTTTGACTTGGCCATTCTAACACCTGTCCTGTCATTGTCCTGTTGGAAGATAAATCTCCGTCCCAGTCTCAGGTCTTTTGCCGACTCCAACAGGTTTTCTTCCAGAATGGTCCTGTAACTGGCTCCATCCATCTTCCCATCAATTTTAGCCATCTTCCCTGTCCCTGCTGAAGAAAAGCAGGCCCAAAGCATGATGCTGCCACCACCATGTTTGACAGTGGGGATGGTGTGTTCAGGGTGATGAGCTGTGTTGCTTTTACGCCAAACATATCGCTTTGCATTGTGGCCAAAAAGTTCAATTTTGGTTTCATCTGACCAGAGCACCTTCTTCCACATGTTTGGTGTGTCTCCCAGGTGGCTTGTGGCAAACTTTAAACCAGACTTTTTATGGATATCTTTGAGAAATGGCTTTCTTCTTGCCACTCTTCCATAAAGGCCAGATTTGTGCAGTGCACGACTGATTGTTGTCCTATGGACAGACTCTCCCACCTCAGCTGTAGCTATCTGCAGTTCATCCAGAGCGATCATGGGCCTCTTGGCTGCATCTCTGATCAGTCTTCTCCTCGTTGGAGATGAAAGTTTGGAGGGACGGCCGGGTCTTGGTAGATTTGCAGTGGTCTGATACTCCTTCCATTTCAATATAATTGCTTGCACAGTGCTCCTTGAGATGTTTAAAGCTTGGGAAATCTTTTTGTATCCAAATCCGGCTTTAAACTTCTCCACAACAGTATCTCGGACCTGCCTGGTGTGTTCCTTTGTCTTCATGGTTTTCTCTGCGCTTTAAACAGAACCCTGAGACTATCAAAGAGCAGGTGCATTTATACGGAGACTTGATTACACACAGGTGCATTCTATTTATCATCATCAGTCATTTAGGACAACATTGGATCATTCAAAGATCCTCACTGAACTTCTGGACTGAGTTTGCTGCACTGAAAGTAAAGGGGCCCAATGATATTGCACGCCCCACTTTTCAGTTTTTTATTTGTTAAAAAAGTTTAAATTATCCAATAAATTTTGTTCCACTTCACGATTGTGTCCCACTTGTTGTTGATTCATGACAAAAAAATTAAATTTGATATCTTTATGTTTGAAGCCTGAAATGTGGCGAAATGTTGAAAGGTTCAAGGGGGCCGAATACTTTCGCAAGGCACTGTACATAGAACAAACATACAGAAATATTATTATGGTAGAACTGTGACAAAAATAAACAATAAAGCACACCTCAGAGTGAAGCTGAAATTCACCTGAGATAAATCGTTCGATTTAGGAAATATTTACAGGAAAAAAAAGATAAAGGAATGTATGAAATTAGCTTGACAGTTATGATTTTGAGAACTAGTTCAACAATTTTGTATGTGATACCAAAGCGATGAAATGACAACAGTTAGTTTTATAGTGAAAGACTATTCAGAAGTCATAAGTATGTTTCATTCTGACTGACAGGACAGAAGCAAATGATAATGTTAAAAAAACGCCGAGAATTGTTTGAAAGTTATTGATACATGAACGAAAGCATTTGAAATGTGTTCAGAGGAGAAACTGCCGTGATGATGTGCACCAATGACCCAATGTTGTGGAGGTTGAACTAATAGTTTTGAGAAGTTTAAGTCTGATGTGAGAAATGCACCAAAGCAACTGAGAAAAACTGTAACCTAGTTAAATAAGAAACGAAACCTATCTGAATCTGTCGGTAAATGACTAGCTAGCCAGTTAGATTAGCTAACTGTTTCTAAGTGTTGTTTGGGCGTAGCATTAGTTTTATCTGGAGCCACTAATGCATTGAAAACAGTAAGGAAAAGCATAATTTGATAGTGTTAAAAAACAACGTTGTAACGCTATTCTCGATCAGGTAAACTGGCACCATTGCATCATTAGCATGCTAGAACAACACTAAGGTTAGCACCTACCAGCCTTCGTTTTTCAATAAATCTGACAAATCCGTCATCTTCGTCCAGCCGGAGAGAACCGGATATTAATCTTGCAAAGACTTATGTAACAACACAGTTGCTGGGACTATCTAAGTCATAAAACCATGTAATTCGAGACAAAAAGAAAAGAAAGCTGCTAACATGCACCGTTCTAACGTCAACTACGTCATCGGTCAAGACGCATTGTACGAGTGCCGAGAGGGAAAACAGTTTTAATAAACGAGTCATTATTATGTTGTACCTTTTAAATCCATGTTTACATGACTGATATTCTTTATAATGATGACTAAAATTCTTAGTTGAATTTGCAGTTGGCCCGACGCTAAATCTGGTTTATACTACAGTCTATGGTTTATTTATTCTTCCATATATCCATGGATACGCAGTTTACCATCACTACCACAAGATGGCAGCAAATACATAGTATGGTAACGCATAGACTGTAATATATCGTGAATAATAATCTTAAAATATGACATTTCTTTTTTAGAGGAAGACAATAGTCTACATGGACTAACGACCTTTATATCGTCTGTGTTTTCCTTTTGAGAAATCAAATGTGCATGTGCTCTGTTTATATTTTGTAGAGTTTAATTTGTTTTTGTTTTAGATAAAATATATTTGATACTAAAGCAACGAAAAAAGCTTCATCTGCCCAGTGTATGAATGAAGATGAGTACTTTTGTAGGGTGTTGCATAGAAAAACGACACAAAAAAGTACAAGAACAAAACCGCGATTGACAGTTCACCTACCCAATGGAAACCCGTGAGTAGGTATAAACAATGGCATTTGTCCAATCATAGTGCGGTATTCTTACATCAAGGCTCACCATTGGTCGAATTAAATCCGAAGAGCCACACAGCCGTGGGGCGCGGGTCTGTCAAAAAAATTCTGCTACTGAACTCTCCCGGAAAAGCGGTAACGACTTTAATATTGCAATTCACACAACATTCAGTTATGAAACCAGTCAAATTTTAAGATGGATTGAAGGAGATGTTATAATACGCTTCTTTGGGGGTATATTGGAAACATGCGCGTGTTGTGCCAGTATAAATAATTGGATTAGCGTTGAGTAAAGCCACCTAGGTGGAACTTTAGCCACATGCTATTTAGCTCCACAGGTAAGGGATCTGCCTGGGTTCTTTGCGTCGCTAAAATCCGTCTGTTTTGTTGCAGTCTAATTACCATAATATACGCCTGAGCATTGATTACGTCTTGCCATGTTAATTATGTAGTTGACATTACTATCATTGTTGATTATTGGGGTTGCAGCTTGATACTGACAACTGTTTTTCTCCTTTGCTGGAAGCATCATGGACAGTTATGGTCCTCGATTCGACTCCTTTACTGGACGAGATAAACCTCAAAAGAAGAATGGATCTGCCCAGAGTTCTTCCTATTATGATGAACGTGATCGCAAGCCAAAGTTTGTAAGTAGCCAATAATTATGACACTTTTTCTTTGATTCTTATTTAGAAATGCCCCTAAATAAGGCAAGTACATTTTTATATAGTTCATACACAAGGCAAGAACTGAACTAAACAATATAGAAACAATCATACAAGGCATCCAAATATAAATACTGAGATCTCCTTCATGCAGCCTCACATGGTTGTATATATAATCTTTTGGATCTACAGCTCTTATTCTCATCATGTATCTTGTTGCATGTAATACAACTACACAATTTTGAATGCGCATGCTTCTATCGACACCATCAAATGAAACTACAAAACTTTATCCTGTTAGAAAACATGTTATCTTTTGCCCTGGGAGTCTCATAGTCCCAATGCTATGGTTTGAAACATGGGTAGCCCACCTTTTAATGGCCCATTCTACCTAGATGTTTATCACAATTTACTCAGCACTAAAAGAGATGGTACCATCTAGTTATTAACGAAACGTAAAGCAACTAACAAGATAAATCTAATGGTTGAAAGGGCCGAAATAGATGCCTTGGCTGTTATCTGACCGTAAAGCTTGTATGTGGAATAGAAATTGTGTGACGTGGGAAGTCATCCGATTATAACATCTTAATCATGTACAAATGTCTTTCAAAAGTGTCTGTCCAAAACATGCCCTGAATTACACACACTGTTTACCACCATGACAAAAGTTTTTTATGTCAATTCTCAAATTCCAAATCTTGTGTTCCTGTCAGATGCCTAAACAAGCCGACTGGACATACTTGGCCAAACAGTGAAGGGAAGATTCCCTGATTTTGTCATGGAGCCATATTTTTTATCTTGTTTTTTTCCTCAGATTGGCTCTACTAGCTTTTGTCCTCATCCGTACTTACTGCGTGTGCATAGAGCATCGCTGCAATACCAGATAGTGTAGGCTGGACAGTGCTAAAGTAGTACTGTATTTAAGCTATTCCTCAATGGAAATGAGTTGAAGTTCTCTTTATACTGTAGATAGATAGATAGATGGATCGATAGATACCTTATTGATCCCCTGTAGCAGAAATTCAGGTGTCCAATAGCAGCAGAAACACATCCAAAAAAATAAAACAAATAAAACCATTCTAAAAGTAGGTGTTGTAGCTGCAGGGTGGAGCAGGACAGGTCACAGCAGCATAGGGGAGTAGCCGCTAAAGCTAGAAAATAAGCAAGAAAACTAACAATTGCAGAGCCGGTAACAATTCATAGATTACTAGAATGTGTATAATATGATTTTATAGAACAAAACATGATTAGTTGTGATTATTGATTCAATTACTACAGCCCTGGGGCGCTATAGAGCCATCTTAAAATATACCATTTTGTATTTCCTTTATTGACCCCCGGGTGACAGTTTTGCACGTATGCGCTCGATGTGCTCCATTCCAAACCGACAAGGCGTTTCCTGCTGGATGTAGGACGAGGTTGCTATATATATATATATATAATATATATATTTTAAATATAAAAACATAAAAGTAAAATATTGTTTTTGCTTATTGTGTTTTGCTTTGTAAACAATATTTTTGGGTCCATTTATCACTTTTGACTTTTAGGGTTGACCTTCTTGTGAACCCAATACTTTAAATTGGCACAAGGTTTATCTCTTAATCCTACTGCAACAATAAGAGGGTTGTTGCTTTGTCTGTATACTTTGCCTTAGATTCCTGCTTGACTTCTTGACCCTGTCCAGGTCAGAGAGGAATTAGAAGTATGAAATTAGCATGTATAGTACATGTCATACAGGAACGGCAGCTGAATTAACTGATTTTTACAGGTAGTATACTAAATCAGTCAGAACAAACAAGTCTTTAGTCTCCTTTTTCAATACTCACTAGCTGAAGTCAAATAGTTTTCTACAAATTGAAATAGTTAATTGAAATAGTTTTCTAAGACTTAAGTAACAATTTATCGTTTTTGAACCTTAGAAAGAAATATTTTTTTATGTGTTTTAAAAGTGGATAGAAGATGATCAGAAGAATAAACTGTAGCCTTTCCTCACTTTCCTCACTCCCCTAATATATTATCACATCCAATTTCTTCACTAGACTGTTTTAGACCAAATTGGGCACAATGCTCCTGCTAACAACAACTACTCTCCTAACCAGCACTGGTGTGTTTATATTTAGACTGAAATTATTCAGTCTGAGTGAGTGCTCAAAAGTATACGCATACACAGTTTACATTTTACACATGAAGAATATACAGATTCTACTGCTTGTCTTCTTTGTTTTCCCTTTTGGTTTTAATGAAACATACAGGTACTGACCAAGAGGGGGCACTGCAATACCATAAAATGACTTTCAGTAAAGGGGAGATGTGGCTTCAAAAGCTTGTTCGTTCTGCTCAGTGTTGCATGTCCTTCTGAGCAGAGCAGAATCAAAAGCAGAAAAACACACTAGATATGGTAATGAACATAATGAAATGTGTTAATGTCCTTTGGAGATGCTGCCTTTGACTCCTATATATAGAGCAAAGAAGAGCACACAGACTGCGTATTTGACAAAGCAGCAGGTTATTTAAAGCTCTGAAAATACTTCATGAATCACCTCAATCCATCATGAAAAAGTAAGTAAATTATAGCAGTGTTTATATCTTTTATTTGGCAATGTTGGTGACATTCTATGATAATCTCAAGTAGAAGTGAGACATATTTTGAAAATGTCAAGTGGAACGTCAACATATTGCCTATTACTTTTGGGGGGAAAACAACGATCATAAGATATACAGTACATTTCACGTTGTTTTTTCTCACCTTAATTGTAATTTTTCAATGGACATGGACACAGGGAAATTATAATTTATTATTATTATTATTTATATAGAACTTTTCAAAAACAGTTTACAATGTTTATTCTGCGTAGTTGGAATAAAACAATAGGAGTCAATAAGAACCATCCATACAAACACATAAATACATATTCTTCAAGTTACTAACAATAGTAATAAAGTTCAACGACACTTTAGGTCACTGCAGCAGAGGTGTTGTAGCCGCTGGTGATGAGCTGCTTCCTACCCTCTGGTTGATGAATGCAGTGTCTGCTTAGTTTGGACTAGGGCTGGGCAATAAATCGAATTTTGGCAATTAATCAGCTTTTTCGTGACAAATGTGAAAATCGTGAAATCGAATGAGGTATACTGTGAGAGTTCCAGCAGCACATCAATTATACTTGCGATATCAGCACAGTCTGTACAAGACTTTTATAATATGTATTGGGGGAAACAAATAAAAAATAGTTTTGAAACTTGAATATTGAGCAGGAAGATAAAAAATATTTTAAGGGCAAAGTCTGTCTTGAGTGACTTTAATCGAAAATTGATTTAAAATCGACATCGTCCACAGCAGGAAATAAAATCGAGATTTTACTTTTTTGCCATATCGCCCAGCCCTAGTTTGGACCATTTTCTGGTTCAGCGTAAAATTCTGAATGCTTTATTAGTATAAAAAAAATAGCATTCCTCCAGTGGATTTACGCTTTATCTATTGGTTTGGACCGTGCATCCTGTCTATTTTGGTCTGGATCAGTGTGAAACCATGAACACTTTACTGCAGTAACCTTTACAGCTAGAAAAA